AATCGGATGAGCTTCCCACAAGCGAGAAGTGCGACAGAAGAAACTTACAATCTAGCCATTTCAATTGTAAAATGAGATTTTCTCACGATAAAATCTAGCTGCCATAGAGGAAAGCTGAAAAAGAACAATGGCCATGAAAATATTTATTAAAAAAAGGCAGAGAGAAGCTACGTTATGCCGGTTAGAAAGTGGTTGAAGAGGAGATGCCGGATCTGGACCAATAACATTGCATATTATTCTTTGGATTTGTATCAAGGATCTCTAAATATACAGCAGGTGAACCAGACCAAATGGGACAGCAATATTCAAAAGAAAAACGAATAGCAAATTATAGCGGCTCGAATTGAGGAATCGGAGAGTCAAGTTCAAATTCCAGTCGAATCCATTTCCCCGGCTATGGGTAAATAGCAGGACAGAGCGGGTTCTATAGCCTTGGGTGGCAACTTGTCTACCGCAGAAAGAAATGGCAACCTACTGCGGAAAAAAATATACCTCGTCAGTCATGTATTGAAAGATGGATGATCGCCTAAGCGTACATCACGCATGACACATACGTGACTAAGATTCTGGCGAGAAACTTGTCCAGTACGACACAGTAAATCAATTTCCCTTGCTGTAGACCTAACAATTGATTCAATATAATCTTTCCACAAGAAACTTTACAATAGACTTCTCAAAAGTGACAAATAAGATGGAGACTCAGTGATTTATAGATCGAAGAATCGATTCATTTTTTATGTTTTATCAACTTATTATGCGTTATTTAAATCTGCAATGTATTTTACATTGTAAGAAAGTTTTTCGTGTGAATATTGCACTAAAAATGTTTTTGAGAATAACAATGTTTTCCATGTACAAGTCCCACTATTTAACCCATAGCGTGGGCAGAAAATGAATTATACTTTTCCCAAAGTAAATATAACAAACCAGACTGGAATTCGAACTGCTTTTAGATTTCTCATTCCGAACTACCATTCACTACACCACCCGCACATTCATAGTTTGAAGAAAAATAAACCATTCTGTAATGAGATATAAATAAAAACATTAACATTAAATAAACGGCTTGCAAAGGGAAAGTGTATTAAAACGTAATGTATAATGACTTAAAAATAACCAGACATTGACGGATTCGTTTTTTTTTACGGCTTATTAACCATTTCTAGGTTATTTGAAGTTAGAAAATATTTTTAGATTATAAGAACTTTTTCTTATAAGATGATCACGGTTTATTGATACAAATCTTACTAATTAGTCCGTAGCCACAGTGAGACGTGGGAGATTCATACTCTTTCCCAAGGGTATTTGTGCGTAAGGGAATATAACTAACACAAGGGGAATTTGAACTCGGCTCTTCGGTTAACAATTCCGAGCCATTGCCTATTACATCATCCGAGCTTACAACATCGAGAATTCCCAAGCGGTCACCCATCTAGCTACTGACCATGGTTGACGTTGCTTAACTTCGATGATTGTACAGGACCAGTGTTTCAACGAGAGGTGGACGTAAGCCTTTTAGTAAGAGAAACAGGCTACTGATAATAAAATAAATAAATCAACACACAATATATTCGCTCAATGGCGCCAAACAATGCTTTTTGATACTTTAATAATCTCATTAAGAACTGGAGATCAGACGATGTGACCAATGTATAAACTATAGCTGTGTTTTATACTATAGGATAGATATAACAAATACAGACATTAAAATAAGAAACATGGCGTATTGATTAAATCTGAATTATCTATTGCCCCCTGGCATTGCCAGTTCAAGGCTGACAAGGCAAACCATTCCACGATCTTCAAGATACCGGAAGGTAAAAAAAGACGCTATAAAAGCAAAACACAAAGTTGATAAAATTAATTGAGCAAACATGTCATCAATCTTCCGTATATATAAGTAAACTAGAATAATTTGTTTACGCAAATTCAGTGTTATAAACAAATGTAACTCTTTTGCTCTTAAAACTGTATATATATATATATATATATATGTTTTCACTATCATAGACAAGTAAAAAATATCTGCTTTCAGGCGAATATAATAGAATTGCTGAAGGCAGGTTTTATCTTTATTCCTAGTTGTAGTCGTAGAAACTCTCATGTTCGAGGTTTGGGAAAATCAAAAGACCTTTCACCACCTCCTTTTCTGAATTTTTTTTAACCTTCCTGTTCGTCTACCTTTTCAAGCCAAACTGGCAAATCTCGCCTCATGCATTCGCATAGTTTAATGAGTTAGACTGTTATTTAAAATATGTCTAAGTTTCATTTTGTTATTTTCTGTATTTAAAAGCAATGACGGACAGCAAATTTAAGTGTGCAAATTATGATTTACACTTTAGCTAATATATACGAAATAATTGATTGAGGAAGACCATTATGATGCTGACTGTTATTCGTCAATGTTATCGGATGTAACGGGATTAATTAATCTTTCCTTAGGGAAATAAACTTTGCAGAATCGCACGGAAAAGTTCAACTGTCATTGTTTGTAGTATCAGAGAGTATATGAGAATATATGAGAGTATATGAGAGTATATGAATTTGGTGATACAATAATCGAGTTCAATCCCAGTACCGGGTCTAAGAATTCGGACTAAGTGGAAACCGGCAAGCAATACAAAAATAAATACAAGACGAGATATCCCAGAACATGAAAAGCAGAGCGACAACAACAATACCCCATCCCAACCCATAGATTAACTGAAGTACCATATGAAGCCCGGAGAGCTCAACGACCGATATCTGATGATAATCGCAATAGTATGCATGTAGATGCATGTAAAGACGTACCGTGGCTTCCCTCTGTCTCTTCTACAAGTTCTTTCACGGCAACTGTTTCGACGAGCTACTTTCGCTGGTTCCCGGACTACATGAATTTAAACGTGCTACCGGGCAGGCATCTCGGTCCCACCCTTTCACTGTTAAAACGGTTAAATGTAACCGTCTATTCTACTCAAAACAGCTTCTTCTCCCACACTTCCTGTCCGTGGAACTCCCTTCCCTTAAAAAAAAAGATGACTATAATCTTTAAATATTCAATGTAATGTCAATCGACATCTGACAGCCTGAGCTTGTTCCCAGTCCTCGGAGTATCCTTTCCTCAAACACGCCTCTTTACTCTTGTTCTCAATCCTGAGTAACCTCTTGCGTGCTAGATAATCCCACCTTGGGGGTGAATTAAAAAAAAGTGGGGGTCAAATAGTGATATGTAGTTCACAATGAGTGTATGTATGTATGTATGTATGTATGTATGTGAAAAATCTGGGTAACGAAATTTTCACCAGTATATAGTCCTGGGTATGACGATAAACTACATCCGGTAGCAAGTTCGCCGATCAGGAGGCTGAGGGTTTTTTAAAGCATTAAAAACTTGCTGTCGTTCCCCATTCACACATCATAAACGATTTGAACATAAAACATTAAAAAAAATGGTCGACACCCAAACTAAAACAAGACTTCGAAAGTATAAAAGTTCATTTTACCAGCAATTTTATATAAAAAAATAAAATACATTTTTATTTTAAAAATTACCAACACCACCAGTTTATAGCAAAATTATCAAGAATACCTATTTATAATAAAACTAATAATACATTTTAGAGCAAAATGGCTAAAAATATATTTTATAGTAGAATTAGCATCAATACATTTTATCTGTAGTTGAAAGCATGCAATTACGTACAAAATATATATAATTGAAGTCATAAAACTGTGTTCAAAGTTTTACATTTCGGCATTAAATAACCCATAGAGATTTATATGCTGCTAAACAAAAACAACCAAGACAAATACCCAGTGTACACGCCCATGCGACACACCTGAAATCCAACGCCATGAGGGCAGATGTCCGGTTTAAGTTACAATTATATTCTTGATCCTTGAGGAGAGAACATTGAACAGTAATGATAATCTGCAAGATATTCGACAATTTATTTGACCAGAATGATCGTCAAGCCTTTCACTCATTGAACATGTCGGATCTTTCCATCCGCACCCCAATGTAACTGTTCCTGAAAGACAGAACACAAGAAGTCTCATTAATTGGTAAATTCCTGGACAGACTGAACTACAATTGCAAATCAATAAAGTGTATGCTATGTTGGATTCCATATTAGAGGACAATTAAGCGGAACTTTAATCGGCTCTTGATATGGAAAAAGTGTCGCTGTAAACTCTCCATATTACAAATAATCACGCGCAAAGATAACCGCTTTCAATATTTTAAATCAGCTTACGTTTGTCTAACTCAGTGATTCGTAATATATTGACTGCCAATAGCGAGATAACTCGTGGTTGACAGTTTTTATGATGACGTCCATTACGAGTTATTTCGTGCCAACAACGAGTTTATTCGATGCGATGCTTTTAGTGTGAGAACAATGTTAAAATCTCAGTTGAAGCTATAAATCAACTCATAACAAATTTTATTGTCTAAGCTGGCTTTTATAAAGTTCGTAGTTAAAGTCAGATTTCGTAATTGACCTCTGGCTGTGGACATGTTAAATAGAAGATTCCCACGTAGCAATTTCAATTTTAAAATGAGGAATTGGTCATTAAATAAAATGGAAGCTTCATAGTTCATTAAAGTAAGGATTCCACCGTTCTTTGATTGCAATTTATTCATTATTTCACTACTTTTTAGTGATAAATGACACTTCGCAATGGAAGCTGAACTGAGAATAAGGGGGGTTGGTAAGACTTTGACAACGACGCAAGAGAGAAGTTTATTTAATAAAGAAATAAGTCCTATTGTTATAACAATTTAAGCCAATGTGCATTTACTTTGTAATTGGCACTTGCTGCAGTTTTTTTTAAATTTATTTATTACAATAATTAAATTTATTTATTATTATTTAGTAGCAAGAGATTCGGCTACGATTATAAGCCCAGTCAATAGGGGGGGGAATAAGACTTTGGATCGCATCACTGGATAGAGAATAGAGTCGAGAATGATAACCCCTGATTGAACAAGAGAATGCATGTGAATTTTCTTTTTGTTAGGAGAAAAAGAGAGAGAAAAAACAGAGAGAGAGAAAACAGAGAGAGAGAGAGAAAACAGAGAGAGAGAGAAAAAACAGAGAGAGAGAGAAAAAACAGAGAGAGAGAGAAAAAAAAGAGAGAGAAAAAACAGAGAGAGAGAGAAACAGAGAGAAAAAAACAGAGAGAAAAAACAAAAAGAGAGAGAAAAAAACAGAGAGAGAGAAAAAAAAGAGAGAAAAAAGAGAGAGAGAAAAAAAAACAGAACAAAAAAAGAGAGAGAGAAAAAAACAGAGAGAAAAAAACAAAGAGAGAAAAAAAACAGAGAAAAAAAAAACAAACAAAAGAGAGAAAAAACAGAGAGAAAAAAAACAGAGAAAAAAACAGAGAGAGAAAAAAAACAGAGAGAAAAAAAAACAGAGAGAAAAAAAAACAGAGAGAGAGAGAGAAGGAGAAAAAACAAACAGAGAAAAAGAAAAACAGAGAGAGAAAAGGGAAAAAAAACAGAGAACTTTTAAAGAAGAAAAAAAAAGAGAGAGAAAAAAAGAGAAAAAAACAGAGAGAGAAGGAGAAAAAGAAAACAGAGAGAAAAACGGAAAAGAAACAGAGAGAGAAAAAACGGAAAAAGAAACAGAGAGAAAAAAAAAAAAAAAAAACAGAGAAAAAAAAAGAAAAAAAAAAACAGAAGAAAAAACGGAAAAAGAAACAGAGAGAGAAAAAACGGAAAAAGAAACAGAGAGAGAAAAAACGGAAAAAGAAACAGAGAGAGAAAAAACGGAAAAAGAAACAGAGAGACAGAGAGAAAAAGATAGAAAAAGGAGAAAAAAAATAAAAAGAACAGATTGAAAAAGGAGAGAGAGAAATGAAAGAAAAGAGAATGCTACAGAAAAATATTTTGAATTTTAATATTAAATGGAAAACAAAGAAAAATTATTTTTTAATATTTTTCTCGAAAAAAATAAATTAAGAAACTAAAAAACGTTTTTAAAATTTTTTCCTGAAAAAATATATAAGCTGCGCTAATATAGATAAAAATTATATACAGGGAATAATATTTTAATTTATATTTGATGTAATGAATATGCATACACCTGGGTTCCCCCCAAAAAGTAATATGATTGGCTGGTGTCAGCCATAAATACAGACTGATGTGGAGGGAGGCCCACTTCCTATTGCTTACGCCTATTGCCTACCACTACGACGAGGACCAGTCCATTACGGTTACCTGCTAGATTGTCCTAATCGGTTAAAGTAGTCAAAAACCACTTTGCTACTTGAACAAATATATCCCTTTTCGACATATCATATCAAGGTGGTCATTTTAATTAAATGTAAAGAAAAAAGGCTCCAAATTAATTGAAATTCAAACCGGGAATCTGTGGTTTCTCTCTGAATTTTATTTCAAACAACTTAGACTTTTTTAGATTAATTTAATGAAAAAATAGAAATTATTGATTTTTTTTTTTTACCACAATTTCGTTGAAAATAGAATTTTTTCTAATAAAAAAAAAAATTCTAATTTGTAAAATCCTATATCATTCATGAGTTCCAGAAAAATTTCACTTCCAAGGCTTTTCAAAATAAAATGGTATGTTTATCATAAAGGACTTTAGAAAAGATTTTTTTTCAACACGTTGAATTTAAACCCATCCAGAAAAGAATAACATCAGGAAGTCTGGTCTTCATTCTTTTTGACCATGCCCAAAGATTTTTTTCAATCACTTCCCAAGAATGATTAATGCAACAACCGACATTTATTACCTATATATGATATTTATATATATAAAAATATTCATATATATATCAATTATATATAAATGAACATTAAATATTTTAAAGGCAATATTCTGAAATATTAAAAGTGGCTTTTAAAATCTTAAAGACTGCAAAGTTAAAACAATCAAAAATATAAAATTATTTTATAGTTAAAAAATTTACAGACAAGAAACTAATAACCCAAAAAAATGGAAAATTTCCTAGTATTAAAAAAGAGAATTAATAAAAAATATTAATTTCAAAGTATTGTTGAAAAATGTTCAATGCATTTAAATTGAAATTTGAAACAAAAAGAATGCAGAAAAATATGCATTTTAGTTTAGTTTATTTTTGGTTAGATATTAAATATTTTAGGACGGATTTTAAAATGATGTCTTCTCGGTGAAATATATTTTATTTTACATTTTTAATTTAAATAACAATGATTTCGGACTTAAAGATCGATAAACGTAAACGTCTTTCGTAGATACAAAATTGGAAGTTATTATTACGTTTTATTCTGATAAGTTGTTTTTTTTATTAAATTAATTAACTGTAGACATATTTTAACTAGGTTTAAATAATTCAATTTGAAGAATATTCGAGATGTCATATAGAAAAAATATTTAAATATATAATAATATAATATTATATGGAATCAAAATTATTAGAATTAAATATTTACTATTTCTGTTTTGACAAAGTCATGAGACAATTTTTTGTTAAATATTTTTTTATATTTAATAACAAATTGATTTATTTTTAAGATCATTTTTGTTCTTATTAAAAGGTGGATTAGTCTGAATTCAAAGGTGTTTGGATCAATATCATATTGTTTATATATATATATATATATATATATATATATACATGTAAATCAGATTGTATCATTATATTTTAATGTGCAGATATATTTATCAATAAATATATATTTCAGAGGAAGAAATATATAAAAAAATATTTTATTTAAAAAATGGCCCAAACGGATTAATTTTTATTAACAGACGAACGAATTTATATCTATATATAAATATATAAATTTTTGAAAGCATTTATTTTATTATTGTTCATTTGAAAAGAAACGAATTTTATATCATATAACAGAATATATAATATATATAATATATAAATAAATATATATATATATGTCGGTTTCAGTAATAAATATATATAATATTTAAAATATTATTATGTTTTTGAAACATTGCAACATTATGTATATATGGAATAATTCTTTTAAAATTAGCATTATAATATATATTTTGCATTATATACGCAAATTAATAAATGGATAGCAAATGAGACAAATTGAGGAGAGAGTTATCAATTAATGTTCAGAATTAAGAATCACATGTCACTTGTGTTTAACCCAAAGTATCCTGTTTTTATTTCCAAATTCTTTTTTTAATGAATATGAGTGATTTGGAAAGGAAGAAAAAGCCTTTACAAAAAAAAAAGTATAAGACAAAAAAAAAGGAAGATTTTTAGAGACCTTTAACTGACAGTTTTTGTGCAGCGATCCTTTGGAAAAAGTCCGGTTGGTTTTGTATAACAGTTGCCTATCATTATATATGATATTATATATACATATATATATATATTTGATTAATAAAAACTGAGCTTTTTTAATCATTTCATCCGAAACTAATGCGATAATAACGGGATACAGATGACGTCGAAAAAAAATGTTGACTTCACCTGAATCCAACAATTCGTTGGAAACGGGTTCAGGAAAACGGAAGAGGAAAATGTGACGTTGAATTTATATTTTTAAAAGATTGTATTCTTTGCCATCCAAGAAGAAACAAGTAAATTTAGATTTTAAGCGAGAAAATAAACTATTAGAATATAGATTACGGGAACTTTGCTAGGTTCAACTAAAGCCTAATTTAATGATTTTTTTGAATAAAGAGTTTCGAAATTCATGCAGTGACAAACAGTGCAAAGGGGAATGTCATAGAATCAAATTGAAATTAAAAAAGATTTATAGAACGTTAATAAAGCGGATGCAGACACGTCAAATTGAATTTTTTATAATTTTACAAACAATAAAAACCATAAAACAGATTAATTTACATCACCATTTGACGGAATTTTTTAGAATTTAATGATAACTCTGCCGAATATTAAAAAAAAATAAATAAATCTTCGAATAAAATAACGAAGATAATAAAGAAAAAAGAAAAATTTTTTCTTTAAGAAATATTTTTATAAAAAACCAAAACAGTAATTTGAAAACATTTTTTAGATTTGTTAAAAAAGATAATCTATCAATTGAACTTCCATATTGATTATTATTCATGCCAAATAAATTTAGAAAAATTAAACTGTCATATTCTTCCATACATTTCCCAAAATGTCTTAAAATGATTGAAAATGAGGCCTGTAGGTCTGCAAGGCATTTGAACTTTTCTATAAGAAAAAATACTATATTTTGTTTAACAGAAACCACATCACACTAGGGTTTGCAACTTCAGGAAATTAAAAATGATCATTTGGAAAGAAAATCTTTGACATAGTTAAAGTGTTTCACATTTTTTTATTCTAAAAGGTTATGAAGAAAACTTTTCTGCTTAAAGGTTTTAAATTACAGTTAAAAAAACCTGGATTTAAAAAAAGAAATGAAAAATTTTTTAAAAAAAACAATTTGATTAAATTTTACTAAGAAAAAAGTATTAAACTTTTTGTAGTTTTAAATTGATTCTTAACTTTCTTATAAAGTTTTTCTAGTTTTCATTCAAAATGGACGTTGAAAAAATAAGTTTTTATTTTTTTGAAAATTAATTGGTTTATTGAAAAGATGTCCGTTTTCCTAAAAACACTGTTTGAGAAAGATAATTCTCTAATATACAAATCTGTTATTTAAAATTTTTTGTTTGTTCTAGGTTTTTCAGTCTACTTTTAATATTTGTTTTTTCTGTGTCAAAATTCTTTTATGTTTATCCCATTTAATAAAAAAATAATCATATTTTGAAAGCCCGCAAAAAAGTTCAAAGGAAAACTTATCAATCTTGAAATGTACATCAATTTGTATTAATCTGACATGCATTTAAATCGTTTTTCATCTTGAATGTTTCAATTTTTATTTTTGAAAATCTCAGGTATAAATTTAACCCCCCAAATCTGGAACGAGTTGACCATAGTCATTTTTTTTAGGTTTTAAATGTCAGTTGGTTTACGAACCAAAAAAAAAAATTAAAATAGAATCAGTGACATCAGATATTAAAAAAATTTTCAAAAAAGTAATTAAAATAAAAGTTTCAATGCATGAATCGATACTTTTATTAGTCAGTATATATAATTTTATGTAAAATTAAATGATGTAGGATAAAAGAGAATTTAATAAAAAAAAAAATTCAGAGAAAGTTTTTAGAATAACAATCTTGAAACATCCACTTACCTTTAAGAAATAAAAAGAATTTGGCAGACAATTTAAAAGCAGTATAAATGAAAACAAACCCTGAAACTGAATCAATTTAGTAATTAAAAGATAGAATTTTTTTTTTTTCAATTTACCAGCAAAGTAATTGACAAAAAAAGCAAAATGGATAATCCCAATTAAAAATAATGAGATGCTCCATTCAAATTGTTTAAATAGCTCTTTTTTTCCAAAATTATTATTCCAGTCAATTTTTTCCTTTAAAAGTGTTTAAAAATACAATTCAAGACATTAAGAAAATTGAATTGACGTTTTTTAATGTTGTTTGATAAAAATTTTTTTTATCAAATTTGGACAAATGTAATCAATGCGTTTTAGGTTTTAGGATTTAAAAAAAAGGGAAGAAAAAATTAAGCGACATGAAAAAAAAAAAAAAAAATGCATATTTTTATTTAAAATAAAATTTATTATCTGGTTTTGTAAACCTTTCAAAAGCCCGTATTTTACATGAATTTAACAAACGTACAAAATGAAAATTTTTTTTGATGTCAACGAACACTCGTTGCCACTTTTGTAATGTCAATGAATACTCGTTGTGACTTTCGTAATGCTCGTTGTAGTAGAGACTTTGTAATCGCAGATACAACTATAGTACGCCGTTGAACAATGCTGGTGTCAGATGCCTTCGAATATGACTCGCACTAATAGTACTTGCTCGATAATACTCGCTCGAAAAGTAAGCACCG